ATCAAGTGGGCCATGTGGGAGTCCAGTGCCTTAACCCTGCCACCTGCTGGCCTCATCTAACTGCTTCTACAGAACATTCTGGAACTGGCATATCAGAGATGATATTTATCAGTTTCTTAATATGGTTGACCCTATGACTTTAATTAATGCTGTCCAGTTCCATCCCAATTTGTCTTTAATTCATATCAATATTCTTCACATTGTTTTATGATTTAAAGTTAGTCTTTTTGTTTGTTTTGTTTTGTTTTGTTTTGTTTTTGAAGAGAGGTTTTTGCTATAGAGTGCATGCGCTGCTAGACAGAGACAGAAAGCAATAAATAATCCCCCTGGGAAATGGCCATGCAGCAATCCCTTCTGCATTCTCTTCTTGAGGTTTTGGGCACACATGCACACGTTCCTGGAGTGATTTTAAGCCACGGGGTCCAGGACTTGAACCGTCATCGACTACCTGGGGAGTCCAGTGACATAACCATTACACCATCTGCTGGTTCCTGAGAGTTAGTTTTTAAGATATTTTAAATAACACTAAAAGAGTAGTTTAATATATGAAAAAGCTCACGGCCCATCCAATTTCCTAACTAGAATAATCCTCAGGTACTAATTGATGCCTAATTGATTTTTTTGCCTTATTCTTTTACACTATGTATATGAGTTAGTTTTTGTGTTTGGTTAGTGACTTTGCTTTGTTTTAAGTTTCAAAAATGACAGTATGACTTTTGTTAAAATTTTAACTTTTCCTTTTGGATACTCTTGGGAAAATCTGATATAATAATCCTTCCCTGGTATGATTGTTAGGATCAAGAGAGATTATATGTTAAAGGGGAACAAATCCATATTAAAAGTCAGGTACCCTCTGGAATTTGATAGAAAGTGGACAAATAGAGAAGCTTGTTGCTGAGTGAAGCAAGTCAGGCTATGAAAAAGAGACATTTTATGTCGCCACTTAACGTATACCAACTGTCCGCACTCTATGGTAGAGACTGAAAGTCTGGAGAACAAAAAGCATTAAAAATTGCCATGGACACTATAGACAGAGAGGAATGAAAGTATGGGAGGGGAAGAGCAAAGGAAAGGAAAATTGGGGAAAAAAATAGAGAGGTAAGACATTTGTGGGACATAGACGTGGTTTATTATCTGTTGATGAGGATGTGTATAGTATTCTCAACTGGACTGTACTGAGGTGTATATCATACAGGGTAAAGTCTCTTTAAAATCTAAATGATGTATAGTGATTGATTGAATGTATAAATAATAAAAGGAAAAATATATAGGTACCAGGAAGTGGGGAGATTGGTTTCCATCATCCAAAGAGGATTCCCAATACCAATATCAAAGCCCACTTATTCACATTCATGCTTCAGAGAAAGTACAAGGCCTCTCGAATGGCTGAACTTTCGAATGTTAGACCCACCCTGGGCATTACTAGACTTTAAGGTACACCCCGTTTTTTGCTTTTTCCATCATAACTGTGCACTGTGCTCAGTCATTTATTGCCATGACTCAAACAGAGCCAGCCCAGTACAGCCGTGTGTACTCCCCTGCAGTGGGAAGTGGGCCAGGTTCCTGTGACTAGGAAAGCTAGATGGGGGCATCTTTTCACCTACAGATGTTTTAATGTGTTTTAATATCCAGTACTAGTAACCGACATAGTCTAAATACCACAGCAGGATCTGATTAGCTTTTTCAGATCACTGCCTTTATTTGCTGTTTGCAAAAAAGCTTAATCCATCGCTGGAGATCAAGCTTCC